AACGGCTCCGGGACACTCCATCATTCCCACGACCCCCGCGAACCGGCAAAATCCGCCGGCGCGACAAGACGGCGGAAGGACAACATCTCATGCTACATCTCAACCTCGTGATCGAATGTCACAGCCGCCTCCGGAACAAAATACACGACGCACAGACGCCGGGCGTAATCCTCCCATGCTTCCCCAAGAAGAAACTGCCGAAAGCCAGTCGGGTCATTTACGACGGACGCCGCCTCGTGAGCAGCACCGACATCCTTCCAATCCGGCGCAAACCGACCTCCGACAGCATATTGAACGGAATCGGGCTCGCCAAGAGTCGTCCGAACTCGAAACACTGCGACGACGAATAGCCGAATTGGAAAGTCGGCAACGGGCACCTGAGGATCCACCTCGGCGGGCCTCTACCTCGGCTCAGGTGTATTTGGAAGCCGACTCTCCCCTCACTCCGGAACTTACTTCGGAACCAGTTCCTGGAAAAGTCAAGGTTTCCCAAATCGGGCTATATGACGGAACATCTGACCCGGACTCACACCTCGGTCATTATACCTCATGGATGGATCTGCATGGAGCTTCAGACGCACTTCGGTGTCGCATGTTTTCACTAACATTGGGGCCTCGGGCCCAAAAATGGTACCATTCGCTTCCCCCTCACTCGATTTGGAAGTGGCAACAATGGAGGTCGGCTTTCCGATCTCATTTTATCGGGGCCCAAGTATGCCTTATCCCGAAAGAGTCTCTTGCCAATATCACTCAAAAAGATGATGAAAGCGTTAAAGATTATATCGCCCGTTTCAATGACCGAGTTCAGAATATGGAACCCTGCCATCCCGAAACTTTGCTTGTTATGGCTATTGCTGGGTTGAAGCCAAATTCGATTTTCCGCTGGACGTTATGCCAAAATAAACCGAATACTTTCCAAGAATTTCTCACTCGAGCCCAACAGCATATCATAGCGGAAGAAGCTATGTCGGTTCCCGATTTCAATTTTAACCAGAAGTCCCCTAAGGCGGGAACCGACGAAAAAAGGAAGAATAAATTTTTCGACAAGCAAAATAAAACTCAATTCAGGGGATCTCCCCGAGGAGACCCCAACGATCCTGAAGTCCGAGCGGCCCGAAAACAGTACGC